TTATCATGCACACACTACATTTGAAAAGTAGTATTTGTATATAATTTATGAATAAAAATATAAATATTTACGAGAGGGTGGTTCAAATTTTCTTATTGATGGGTTTCTTGATCAAAAAGGCTTGGGAACCTCTGATCTGGAGGAGATGAGTTGAGCCAACAGTGAAAATCTAAGGGAATTTGACAGGGATACAGATCACAGCACTTAGTTCAGCAGGGAAGGAGGAGGAGGCAGGACATAGCAAAGGCTTCCTGGAAGAGGTGTCTGGCTAAGTTGCTAGAATGAGTTGGTGGAGGGAAAGGCTGCATAGTATATGGAAAGGCAAGGTGGTTCATGTATGAATAAGTAAGTGCATTTTGAAAATTACAATAATTCAGTACATCTTGAGCTGTCAGCCCATGTGGGAACTGCAGGAGGGAACGCTAGGAGGCTCCTGGAGAGCAGGATATAAAGACCACTGAAGAGAAGGAGGCTTATCTTGAGAATAAGGGTCACTGCTAAGGGATTCAAGCAGGAGAAGTGAGATCATGCAGCAGTGTGCCCAACTTGGTCCTCTGGCCCAGTCTCCACTGGCACCTGAATCCTAGAGGAAATGGATTGTTATAGTGGGAGTTGTGAAACCTCGAAAAGCCAGGCCAAAACCAGTGCTGGCAGCCTCGGAAGGGAAGGGAAGAAATTCCCTTCTGGGAATTGTTGGGTGAGCATCAGTAACAACTATAGATACATCTATGGGCACAAAGGCTTATCTTTGACAAGCATTGGTGCCTACTGTCTCCATTATAGGTGCCTAGTGTCTCCATTATAGTCAAGAGCTTCAGGAGCTAGCACATGAGTGGGGGAAAACTGGAAAAGAGGGAAATGGTAAACACCACAGCAGCCAGGAAGGTAGCACATGGAGTCAACTGAGCCACCCCCAGCAAGCTCCTGGTACTAATTTAAGAGGACCTTTCAAAACACCTGTTCACTCATGTAAAGAGAGGCTGGATTTGTCTTCCTCAAATTATAACCCATTCCCACATGTGCACAAGTCCTGGGGCCACCCTTCATAGAGTTGCCTATAGAAATAAAGGCACTGGAGCTGTGTAGTAGGAACCTTACCTAGAGGTTCAGTTAAGATATGTTAAAGGAACAAATGAAATACCACTTGCTTGGCTGCTCTTATAAACCTTATTTTAAACCTCAGGGTGGGCTGGGTTGCAAGCAGAAGTTCCAATCAGTTTTGGATTCTGAGCCATCATCTGGACATGGTGTGGCAGATGACAGCAAGTGATTGGACTCTGAAACTCAGTTAGAACCGCAGGTATTGGCTGGGTATTCTACTAATTTAGTTCTGGGGAAGTACTGCGAAAACCTGGAAATGAATAGCATCTCGTTGTATCTATGTAGTCAGTTGGGCAGAAGTGGCCAGGTAGAGCCAACGGGTAATGCCCATAAAGACTGTTGACCTGGAGTGACCCACAAGAGAACTCCTGTTACTCATTCTAAAGCCAACCTTTAGTCCTATGCAAAGCAAGACTGGGAGACAAAATGAAAGTGAAATCACCAAATAGCAGATGAAGCTGATTCATTTTTGAGCTGGAATAAGATCAACTTGAGGATTTGGGCATACATATTAAACAAGAAAATCTGGAATAGACATTGTCTTCGTTGGAAGAAGGTGGGGTCAAAAGATAACATCCCATTGAGGCAAAGGTTGCTGTTGGTAGAAGTTCAGCCTTAGTCTTCAAGAGCTGGGGAGCATCAGACCTTGTTATATGTGCCATGGACTTGTGTGATCTGAAGATCTGGACTCATGATCTGTTTCTTCTGGCAGTAAAAGTAATGCCCAAGCCACTTAGGAGACTGTTTATAACTGGCAAACCTATGAGGGGCCTAAGAAAGGACCCAGAGAAAGCTAGAGTCGAAGACAGTATAGACAGTTAGATCAAAATAGAATCCAATGTTCATACAGAGCCTCTTGTAGCACTAACAGATGTCCACATAGGGCACAGAAAGTGCTCAGTTTTGATTATACTGAGTATATTTCAGTATATTTTGTATACTGAAATTAACAGAATCCTGTATGTGGAGACCATACAGCTGCATGAAGCAGGACCCTTAGGTAGCCTCAGGGAGTTGCATTAAACAACTAAATTTATAACTGTCTGGCCGCTGCCTCCATCCTGAGGGTACTGGCCATGCTGTTTTGGGAGACTGCTATTGGATCTCAAGTCATTTGTAACACTAAGTACCATTCTAAGGGACCAATACATATCATATTCTGTTGGCCTACATGCTGAGAGGAAGGTAGCTTTAGTGAGAGCCAAGTGGCTCCCAAGAAAAGCATCTTAAATGCAGGGAATGTTTCCAGTCCAGGATTGCCGTCTTATCTTTCTGACTCCTCAGTTCTCTCAGTGGCATTTTCTTTCAAATATATTTGCTCCCTAAACAAGACAAATAAATGTTCCCCTCCTGCACATACATACAGAGGAACATAAGCCATCACTTTCTCTTGGAAGAAGTAATAGGTTGATGTGTTTGTTTTACATATTTTATAGCCTAGATATATTGACTTATGTAAAGGGACACCCATGAAACAAACATTTTTAAATGTAAGTATACAGAATTAAGCATGTCATTGTAAAGCAAGTTTTTCAAAGTTTGCCTGTGGTTACTCTTTGTCCTTTTACTTTTATGTCTATTAAAAATGTCTTATTGAATACATTGTGAATACAGAGACAAAACTGGCTATTCGCACCTGGGAAGGACTTGAGGCCTCTGGTCTCAGTTTACCACATCTACAAAATCAGTGGGCCTGACGGCAAGAGTGTTTTACATATTTAAGAGATCAGGATCTGATAGAAATGCCAAAAAAAAAAAAATGCTTACTGCACAGATCACAAAAAAAAGGATGAGCAGAATGTCATACAAGCAAAGCTTCAGTCATATATGAAGAGGTAGTAGGGGGAGTTATTTCATGAAAAACAAACTGATTCCTTACAAAATACAATTGTCTAATGTACAGAAAATAATTTGTCTTAAAAATCAAAGTCTTGATTTATTTTGTAAGCTATTTTGGTTCCCTTCATTTAAAAAATCTATTTATTCAGTTTGGCTTACAAAGCTTTTACTTCAAGAATAAAATTGTGTGCTAGGAGGTAGTGGAGAATGGAGGTAGCAGACAGCTACACATCAGTGAAACCCAGCCAACTTCCTTCATCTTTCACCTGCAAATTTCCTGCACTTCCCTCCCTGAACTCTCTTGCCTGAGCCACCTCAGTGCCTTTCCACAAGCTTACTGGAGTTGACAATTCTGTAATCATAGGTAGTTATTTCTCCTGTGGCCTTCTTCAGAGCTCTCCAGTTACTGCAGAGTGGAGGTGCCTAACACTCCTCTCTAGGGAGCCTCTTTTGGCATCATTTTTGGCTGAAGTTTTTGCATTGCATTTCCATGTCACTCGGTATGGGCCAAATATTCTGCCTGCTCTCTGCTGAAGGCCTTCCCAGACTGGGAAGCTTAATTCACCACACAGCTGCCAAAATTCTAATTCAAGATCTAGAATTCTAACTCCTGCTCTTTAGACCCTTATCTGGCCTTGGCCCCAGTCTCCAGCCAAGAAGGCTTATTATCACGCCCATGGTGGGGACATCCAGATGGGGGTGCTGCCCTCACTCTCACTTGGGCCCAGGAAACCATTCTTGTCAATCAAACACACTGCCCCAGCCCTAACCCAACCCAATGTTCATTTTAGCAAGATTGTTACCCTGTGAGGTAGAAGACAAAATTGATGGGCCAGGAGAGAAAATGACACAGGCGAGGCAACTTAGTCCTAACTGCTGTTATGGTGAGAACACAAAACTTTTTGCAGTGGCAGAAATGCTACAAGTGCCTGTACATACATGTACATGAAAAGCCTTAATAATGCTATTATTAGAAATAATACAGGAGATGCATATAGTTTATAGATAGGGAAATACTATTTTTATATGTATCTGCACCAGAGGGTAAGAGAAATTTGTCCTGAATTTAATGCTAAATTCAGCATGCATATATTAATAAAAAATGCACTCATACTTTATAAGGTGCTTTAGGCACCTGGAAAAGTGCTATTGGAGAATATACACTTTACAGGTGAAAATGTGACTGCAGAAATATGGGGGCGGGAGTTGGAGACAGAAAGTAATTGATTCTTTTTTTTTTGTTTCAAACTGAAAAACTCAGCTTAAGGGTTTAGCTGGTCAACATTATGGTTTGAATGCTCAAGATAATAAATCTTGATTGCAGGAATCTTTACTATTAAGTGAAGACTAAATATGTCCTTGGACACCATTTCCACTCCTTGCCTAAAACCAATGTGCTGTGCTTTCTGCTGTGGCAGAAACATACAGATGGGTTAATTACCAGACTTGAGACTGGGCAGTGGGATGCTGCGACAAAATTTGGGGTAATGAAATTATTTTGAGTTTTTGTTTTCCCAAAAGGGACAGGGAGTAGACCCAACGTGGTACATATGTAAAACAGGCAAATGCACTTGACGACCAAGCACTCTATTTTGAAATTTAAATAAAGTTAAGATTTTCTTCTGGCCTAGAGGGAAGCTTCATTAAAATCAATTAGTACAAACCTCCAGAGAATATGGACTTTTTTTTTTTTTTAAGAGAAGGTTTAAAGAATAAGGTGCACACAATTACCTTTCCTGGGTCCCCTGTGACACCTAGACAGGTGGCCAAATGCAAACAACTGTCCCCTAGAGGGGCCTGATAACTCCCTGAGTGCTCATCGCTGGGAAGTAGGTGTAATTAATAGATGTGTATCTATTAGGAATGTAATATACATAACTAAAGAGTCTCCAAACAGATTGCACGCATGGCAAATGTGAAGGACAGGCCTAGGGAGATAAAGTTGGTGGCAGGCGCTGTCAGGTGAGGCCTCGGTCCGGAGCGGAGGTTGGGGCCGCACAGCTGTAACCGCGCCTGGTCCCTCCTCCCAGCTGCGGCGGCTGGCCCCCCCCACCCCCCTCCCCCCGCGCTCCCGACGCCGCCGCCGCCGCCGCCGCCGCCGCCTCCCCTCCGCCTCCCCTCCGCCTCCCGGTGGCTCCTCGCTCTCCTTCCATCTCTCACCCCCTCTCCCTCCGTCCCGTCCTCTTCGCTCCCCTCACCCCGCCTCTCTCCCCTTCCCCCAGCCCCTCCTCTCCTCACCCCACCCGGCCTCCCTCCCTCCCTCCCTCCCTCCGCCCGCCCGGCGCTCGCAGAGCTGACACCAGGGGGGCTCTCGATGTAGCACCATGACAGGCATCGCCGCCGCCTCCTTCTTCTCCAATACCTGCCGATTCGGGGGCTGCGGACTCCACTTCCCCACCCTGGCCGACCTCATCGAGCACATTGAGGACAACCACATCGGTAAATGACCCGGGGATGGGCGGGGGTGTCGGACGCGCGGAAACTCCTGCCCCGGCGACCAGCCCCAGAATGGCCAGGGGTGGCCGGGAGCGAGGGAGGGAGGGAGGCGGCGGTGGGGCGGGGACGGTGTGTGCGCGACCCGGGGCTGGGGGTGGCGGGATGCAGAGGTGCGGAGGAGGGGGGGGCGAGGAGCGGGGCGGGGGGGGGGGGGGTCGCCCCCGAGGTGCGGTGGGCTGGCTGGCCGGGGGACTCAGGGGGCGTGCACGCGGGTTGCGAAGTGGTGGCAGTGCGGGTGCGGCGCGGCGGGCCGGCGGGGATGCGGCGGCCGGCCGGGCGCCGGGGAGGGGGCGCGGGCGGAGGGCGCGGCGGCCGCGGCGGGCGTGAGGCAGGGGCGCGGAGTTAGTTGGCCCGGTGGACCGAGCGGCCCGGGGCGCCGGGGGCGGGCGCTGCACGCCGCCTGTCGCTTCCGCCCCGGCTCGAGCTGTCAGGGCTCGGCGGCGGCTGCAACTGCGGGGAGGTGGGAGGGGGGGCGGGGGTGGCTCCACCGCGGCAGCCATTCCGCTTCCTCCTCCCACCGCCGCCGCCACTGCGTCCTGTCAGCGCCGGTTGCTAGGTGTGGTGCGTCGGAAGGGGGCCGAGGCCGGCGGAGGACGCTGCGCTGCCCTCTGGTCGGGAGGCGGCAGAGCGGACCGGGGGACACGCGGGACCCAGGCCCTGGGCGCCCCCACTCCTGCCCCGGCCTGGTCGCGGACGCCGGGCGCTGCGGGCTGAGGTTCCGGGTGCGCTCGCGGGCCGCGCCCAACGCCCAGAGCCGGGGCGCAGCGGAGGCCCCCGCGGCTGCGTCCGCTGGAGAGCAGTGTCCCCTCCGGGCCGCGACCGAGCGTCCTCATGCGCCACGGCTCCTCGCTTTGCCATTGGAACGGTGCTAGGCCCGAGGTGCGCCGGCTGCGCTCAGGGATCCGCGGCGGCCTGCGCGGCGCCCCGGCGCGGGGACTTGGGGGAGGGGCTCCCCGCGGGGCGGCCCGCTTCCCTCACACGCAGGACCTAGGGACCTTTGAACAAGTCCTCTGATTCACAGAAGTCCTTGCACACATTTGCACACTTGTATCCCGAGCCTCTGCGAAGGGAGGGAGATGGGTCGGGTTCTCCTGACTTAGGCGATCAGCCACCTGCGGAAGGCGTGGCCGGCTCCCGCAAGCTGTCCTGTGTGGGCTGGAAGGTGAAGGGCACACGTGTCGTCTCCCTCTGGGGCTGTCTAACTTAGAGAACCTGGAAATTGCCCCCAGGAGGTCCAAATGAATGCCTTGGATTCAGCCATGTGGATGCAGCTCACGTTTCTCCAAAGTTGAGAGAATAAATCACGACTGCTGTGTATTTATGCGGGAATAAAATGAGGCTGAGCCTTACGCTCTTTGGCTTCGTTTAATGCTTTCTTTGCACACAGGGTGCTTAATAAGTGTGGAAAGCCTGTTGGGAATGGGGTTTGACGGGTCATCCAGAATGGGAAATAATCATGGAAAATGTCTTTGAAAAAATAATTATGATGAATATATTTGGCCAGGTTTTGCAACTTTCCAAGTTTTAAAATATCCTTCTGTCATCTCTTCTGATAACAATGTGACAGAAGAGCGAGGTGCTTAAGTTTTGGTGGTCTTAAAAGCGGTTTAATGGAGCAAACGAATTTGCTGATTCATATCATGTTTGAATAGTCTTAATTCGAAGTGTGCAGAAGTATAAATCAAGGTTTTCACGATGCTGGTTTAGAATAAAGCTGAAACTCCAGTAATGCAAAGTTCCAGTAGAAATTTTAGTTCATGTTCCTCCCCTTACTCCCAATAACACATGGAAAATAATAAATATAAAGAAGTGCTAGGTAAATATGTGTAAGTAATATAAGTAACTATCTCCTGACCTATGGAAAGCTGTCATTGCGTGTCCCAGCCAGTCTCACTAACAGTTATATCAGGTAAACAATAATTCATGTAAGCTGAGTAATAATTTTATCCAATTGCATGCCTACTTGGACTATACTAACTGATTAAAAGAAAATATACATTACATTTGTTAAAATGTGTTCGAGACAGTTACCCTTTCTGAGGATTTAATTTGTAATCAGATGATCTAAAACATCTTACATCATAAGATATGCTTTAAGTTTGCAGAAATTTTCTCAATATTGTGCAAACATTTTTTAAGAGGGTTAAAAATTTTCTAAAAAATTTTTAAGAGGGTTAAATTTTCTAAAACTCAACTTTTAAGTAATGGTATCTTACCCCCAAAGGGCTAATGTTTTCCTTTTATGATAAAAGTATTTAAAAATTAAATTTATAATAATATTTATGTCTTAGGGCAATTGTGTGGCATGACTAACAGTTACTATACTTTGGACATAGTTTCAAGCAGTGAGCTTTATGAAAAGTAAATGTTAAAATGAACAAACATTTGAAATCCCCAGGTTGAAGAGGCTCACTTAAGCTACTTCATACCTGTGCTGAGGAGAGGCCCCTTGCTTTCAAAGGCAGCCCTGTATGCAAAAGAATTAAGAATTGATCTCATGAAGAATAAAAACATCTTGACTAGCAGGCCATGTCATATTAGTATACTTTTGGTGAAGAAACAAGACTGAAAATATATCTGGCAAAGCATTTAATGAAAGTTCTGTATTTTTATTTAGTATTTATTTTGATTCAGTTATAAATTTTTGTACATAATCAGATGGTTATTTTTAATGATTTACTGATTTCCTGTCTTTGTTAGCCATTAAAAAGATTCATGAAAAGACTACTAAAAAAATGTATGTTGTTCTGCTTTTATTCAAGGGTTTTATCATTTAGCTACCATAAGAGGGTAACAGATATGTTTTTTGGTTTTTTTTTTTTAAGTGATGATAGGGACCAAACCCAGGGCCTTCCAAGTGCTAGCTAAGCACTCTACTCCTGAGCTACATCCTAGCCCCTTTAATGGATTATTACCATTTAAGTACCAGTCAAAATCCTTAAGGAGTGATGAAATGAAGGTTTCCAGTATGTGTGGGAGGGGGGGAATATGGCATCTGTCTTGCTTGACAGATTGCAGTTTTCATTATAATTGTAATGTATCTAATTAAAAGTAAATATATAAAGTTGTGAGTAGTGGTCTTCATCATCATACATGTGACACTTAACTTTTTTGGGAAGAAGGGGTATTTCTGGGAATCGAACCTGCGGCCTTGCACATACAAAGCAGGAACTCTACCACTGAGCTGTGTCCTCAACCCATGGCTCTTGTTTTTAACTATTTTCCTCTTCTCATAAGGAACAAGGATCTGGGGCTTCAGAGAGAAGGGAAGTGCGATTTTCACCACTGTCTTAGCTGTTTTTCCTCCTTTTGGAAGAGTGATGCATTGGTGTTCCTGTTTGTTTCCTTGCCTCTCACTGCTAGTTCAGTACTGGAGCACCTGTCTCAATGAACGACCCAAATACTCCAGCTGCAACCCTCCCCCAACCCCTACTTAAATTGCCTAGAAATCCCACAGCCCTGCAACTGTCAAGTGCTTCTCTACCAGCTTTGCTATCAATTCATTCATAGCCCTGGTGCTGTTTCCTGGAGACAGGAAAAGCTGGCCTAGTTTGTTTGCTTCTCATTGTGAGCAGACACTTGAGTTTGTAGAAGCACTCTTGGCATGAACATCCTAGATAGGTGAAGTTAAACTGATAACTGGGAATCTTAGAAACACCAAGAGCACTAAATTTAGCACCAAAGGTCATGCCCCAGACTCATGAAATGAATGCCTACATCCTAGTGCTAGGAAATCCTTTAGCTTTGGTCTCAGAAAGCAACTGTGGAATCATTCTTAGCAGACTTGATCTTTTGGTACATTTGTAAAAGGACCTCAGCATTTTGAATTTATTCATGCAATAATGTATATTGAGCATTTGCTATGTGCTAGGCACAGTTCTAAGCCCTTGGTATTACTTGGTGATGGAAATAAAGATCCCAGCCTTTGGGGATCTTAAATTCTAGTGGTGAGAGAGAAAATAAACAATTCAAGTCAATGATGCCTTATGTTGACAGATGGTTCGTGATACAACAAGGTACAATGGAGTGGGAGGAAGAAGTGTTGAAGTTTTCAATAGGTTGGTAAGGATAGGCCTTTTGAGAAGCTGATACTGGAGTCAAAACCTTAAAAGAGGTGATGGAGTTAGCCATGACCACATCTGTGGAGCAGTAAGGTCCAGACAGGGGAAGCAGGCAATGCAAAGGCCCCAAGGCAGGACCGACCTGTGGAACAGAAACACAGAAACCTGACTCCATTAAATTCTCAAGATGGCAGTGAACTAGTAGATAATTTAAAACTTTCTGTAGATGTTCGGGACCTCAGCTTTGCTGTTATCCATGCAGATTTTCCCTTAGGAGATGGAGTCCCATTCATTGGGAGTGGCTCTCCTTACCTAGGACTTAAGTTTCTTGACCCTACATATCACTTGTTAGTTTCTTCGTCTCCAAAACCCACGTAATAAATCATGGTGCTTCATTTCATTGACTGTGTCTGTAAATCATCTAATTAATAAAGGTCGAAGTTTCTGGAAAGAAATATAAGGGTAGTTACTATCAATATTGTGGAACTTAGCTCCAGAGATGATTTAGTAAACATTTGCCTTCTCAAAGAAGCACTAGATGGTAAGCAGGTTGCACACCATCCAGTAGGCCCTTTTTATTCCAGCATTTCAGGTGAGCAAAATGAGGTGGTAAGTGTGAGTCAGATTTGAATTCCACATCCATTTACAGAATTGGGCCTGTGCCAAATTGCCAGAGGTGAAGAATTTGACAGTACCCTCCTTGTGTCCTGTCCACATGCAATTGGTCTGATTCCCCCTTCAGAAAGTAACTGAACTCAAGGATCTTCTGAGAAGCAGCATAGTGAACCTGGGCTGCTTGGGATTGACTGCCTTGCCTGACTACTTAACATGCTGTGCATCCTCTATAAAATGCAGATAATAATGCCTACCTCATGGAGTGGT